TAACCAAGTCTGCACATTTCATATTAGTCAAAATGACAGATTCCACAGAAACTCTTGAGAAATTATATATTTGAGAGATAGTGAGATTGCATGGAATTCCTATCTCTATTTTTCTGATAGAGATTCAAAGTTTACTTCTCAGTTTTGGGGTACTTTGCAAAAAGCATTAGGAAGTCAATTAAATTTTAGTAGTGCATTTCATCCCCAAACTGATGGACAATCAGAAAGGACTATCCAGATCTTAGAAGATATGTTAAGAGCTTGTGTTTTGGATTTTCATGGAACTTGGGAAGATCATCTTACTTTGGCAGAATTTGCTTATAAGAACTGTTTTCAATCCAGCATCAGAATGGCACCATATGAAGCACTCTATGGTAGACCATGTAGATCACCTTTATGTTGGGCAGAAGCAAGTGAAATTGTGTTATTAGGACATGATCTGGTACAAGAAACAACAGAGAAGATCAAAACTACTAAACAACGCTTGCTTACAGCTCAATGTTAGCAAAAGAATTATGCTGATATAAGAACAAGGCCATTGAAGTTTAATATTGGAGATCATGTATTCCTTAAAGTTTCACCTCGAAAAGGAGTTAAAAGGTTTGGAAAGTCTGGAAAATTAGCCCCACGATTTATTGGACCTTTTGAAGTACTACATCGGATTGGGGAAGTAGCTTACAAGTTAGCACTACCACCTCAACTTTCGAATGTTCATAATGTGTTTCATGTCTCTATGCTTTGAAAATATGAACCAAATCCAACACGTGTTTTAGATTGGGGAGAACTAAACATAGATGAGCAATTATCTTTTGAGGAAAGACCAATACGGATATTAGATCATAAAGAACAAGTGTTGCGAACGAAGACTATTCCACTAGTCAAAATTCTTTGGTTATATGGGGATACAGAAGAGGCTACATGGGAATTAGAAGCCGAGATGAAAGAAAAATATCCAGAACTTTTCCTTGAATCGGGTACGTTTCAAAATTTTGAGGACGAAATTTCTTTTAAGGAGGATAGATTGTGAAACCCCATATTTTTAAATATGTATATTAATATTTCATGAGAATTAAATAATTATAATTATTAGTTTTCAATACTATATATATATATATATATATATATATATATTAGTTGTATGGCAATCCACGTGAATCTAGCTATAGCCTATCAAATCTTATTATATGTCTTTAACTATATCAATTCATTCCAACCTTATTTAATATTCATTATATACACTCACACTTTACAAAAGCATTTAGAAAGGTTTTTTTTTTATTGCTTACTAAGCTTTCTCTTATAGATTGACGTGTTGCATTATGGAGTCCTCAAAAATCAATTAAAGCATGAGGTAGTGTATAATGGCATGAGGTGTAAGAACAATAGGTATTCTTATATATATAAACTTAATTGGAGAGTGCTCACTAAGCACTCTACAAAGCCTACACATAAGGCTATTTGGGGTGGCAGTTTACCTTCAAGCCACCCAAGTAGTCTAGCAACCGATAGGCTAGTTATGTGGCACAATATTAAGCTTCATCTATACATCTTTGCCGACTCTAGCTTACTATAAATAGCCTTACCTAATAGTTCTTAGATTATAGGTTCTTCAAGTTGTGTTAGTTTCCTAAACATCGTAGACAAAAGGAAAAAAGAGAGTGAGAACTAAGTGTGGTGAGATTTTGGAGAAGCTCAAAGTGTTTGGACTTACAACTGGGAGTTATACAATAGCTTTGGATTTGAGGTAGGGGTTTTTCTTGGGGAGGCTTTACATAAATTGATTTAATTAAATATTGTGAACACTATATTATGCTTGGTAATATTGTTTGATTATTATCCTTGATATTGAGTGTTTACATGCTTGTCAATTATCATTATAATTTGATTAATATTGACATGTTCATATGTTGTTGGTGGTGGTTGGAATTCTTGAGTTGATAAAGAAATTATGAAAAAGAGGGTAATGGGAAGGATCTTTTGTGTAGTTGAGTCTGACCATTGTAGGGACCAAGTTCAGGCGAGCCCGTGTGCACAGTAGACTAGGAAATCGGCAATATAATTGTCGATTGGGTGATTTGGGCTTGGAGATCAATGGTGTGGACCAGATGACTAACAAAAGGGGAATTATGGGATAATTGAGATGGGTGTTAGTTTATATAATGGGGCATTCGGAATCACAGTGGTAAAATGCATGGTATGGGACATGCAGATTTGCTTGCCTTATTATATAGATTAACGGGTTGGGTAAGAATTGAAGTTCATTCATGCATTGCATAAATTGTACTTTATAAATCTCACTAATCACATAAGACATAGGACCCTTTCTAAGCATGTAGTGGTCACCCCTTATTGATCAATCTATTGCAGATTTTGAATCTGAAGTTTAGTTTGTGACGAGGAAACAAGAAGAACAAGTTGTGGATAGTTTTGAATGTTTTGTTAAAAGTTTGTTACTTTCTTGTTATTTTGCTTGTAAAATTACAATGTAAATTACTTTGGTTTAAATAAGAAGTTTATGTTCAGTTCTCATGTTTCTTGCTATTTAAATTTTTAGTTTTAGTTTTTCTTTTACCTCACACTCTCAATAATTAAGTGAATAAATTGGGGTGTGACAA